TAAGACTTGATTGGCACTGTTATCCTAAGTGATTGAAGAGCAATGCAGAAAACATTGAGACTTTTGAGCCAACTAGTGCCTGCGTCTTTTCAAATCATCTGTGTCTTAAAGTGATTATCCACTTAGTGACTTCAATATGGCTTATGGGCATTTCATGTGATTTCTCACATCTTCTTTGAAAGCAATCCTTTTCTTGCATCTATTTTCTTTTTTCACTCTTCCACCAAGAGTGTTAAAAATTTGGGAATTCAACCTATCCTCTGTGAGTAACAAAACCTGTTGCTAGCAGTGTGCCTGGTCACAAGAGCTACTGGGTGTCTGTTTTTGCACCATCAAACATCATTCTTGCCAGTACTTTAGTCTCTCTTAAAAAAAAAAAAAGGCATAGACTTGATGTTCAAATAACTTATGCTATTAAGTCAGGAAAGATGAACAACACACACACACACACACACACACACACACACACACACAGAGCAACTTTCTAACTTTCTCTTTTTGGAATGCCTAGTGATTGCTGCAGAAATAATGATTGCTATTTCCAGTCACTTTCTCATCAGCAGACCTAAGTGTCTGAAGTCTCTGCCTCTCTCCAGGGTACCTCCTTCCCTGACCTCTTTAGAAAAGACACCATACTTACAGCATGAGCTCTGGGTCTGACTGCTGGGTCCAGCCATAGCCCAGAGAAGGTTCAGGCAGTAAAAGGCAAACCAAGCCATCTCACTCGCTCCTGTTCTGTTCTCTCCTCTTGGTTCACAGATGCCAGTGTTTGCAAGTGGAGTATTTCTCTATCTTCTCTTATCTGTACTCCTCTTAGTAAATCAATCTGCCTCCAAACCGAGCCATTCCCAACTACCTGTGCTGACCTCTCCTTTTCTGCTATAACTTGATAACATTTGCTTATCTAAGTTTACCTACCATAGACCCTTCAAGGTATCTGAAGGTGACTTCCAGACAACACAGTCATCTGAGAAACTTGAGGCTGGGTATGCAGTGACTATAATGACAAGAAAGTATCCTTTACCAAAATCCTGGGTCAATACATTGGGAAGTTCAGCTAATGTGTGAGTAAGAGCAAGGCTTCTCTTAAGCCTTCTGTTCATTCAGACAACCTCCTGGCTGGTCATCAGCAACCACTTCATTGACATTTAGACAATTTGTAGGCACCACTTCAGGTACTTGCTTTGCAATATGCCCATGGAGACTCTCCTTGTAGGGCTCTGCCAGAGGAAGTCTGGGTTTATGCAACTAATTAAGTTGACATAGACTTGGGTTCTAGCCTAGACTCTTTGAAGTTATTTGATTTTAGGCAAGAAATAGACCTTAGTTTTCCAGGAATCGTTTTGTTTAATTTCTCATTCCTTATCTGGGCTTAAAAGCGGTCTCAAACATTCAAAGCTTTCAGATATTATCTTTAAATAATTAGAGAACATGGATTTAATTAACTATATTAAATATACTCTTTTTTTTTAAAAAAAAAAAGAAATGTAGCTTTACTAAAAAGTATACCTCCCTATCATGGAGAAATGGAAACAGTATCTCGACCTTGTGAAGGAGGGGGCTTTTCCCCCTTATAGTTTAAGAAGCTCCTTATAGGAGGAAATCTTCCAGTGTCACCTATCTTAGAATAAAAGCCAAAGTCCTTTAAATGACTTACGAGGCCCATCAGATGTGACTTCTGACATCTCTTCTGACCTCACCTCCACCTGCTTTCTCTGTAGCTCACTCTGCTCCAGCCACACAGAGCTCCTTGAGCTTCCTGAGAAACCTCAGCCAGTTTTATCCTGGATGTCCCCTCTGCCCATGATATCCTCTTGGTGGCTCCCTCACTTCCTCATGTCTCTGCTCAGGGATAAGCACCTAGATCATCCTGTATAAGGCAGCCTCACTCTACTCTTCCCCCACCACCACCGGTCACCCTCCATGTCCCTTTTCTGCAGTAGCTCATCCCCTTCTGTCACACTCTATGTGTAGTTGTTTATTGATTGTCTTCCTCCCCATAAGAATGTCCACTCCACGGGGACAGGAACTTTGTCTCTTTTGCTCCCTGCTGTATCCCCTGACCTTGCCACATTACCTAACTCACAGTACAAATGAAATATATTTTGATGAGTGAATTAATGAAAACATAGAAGACGTGGGAGTCCAGCGACATAGCCATTATGCCAACTACTGGTCCCAATCCTTGGCATCTTAAAGGCACTTTCAGTTCCTGACCACATCTCCATGTAACTCAGTCGGTATGTAGTGGAATCCAGCTCATGCTTCCTAGACATGATTCAACTTTTAAAAGAAAAAAAATGTGAATTCTGCAGTGAAGATCAGAGTTTTTTTATATGTTTGTTTTTGTTTTTGTTTTTGGGAGAGTGGTGCACTGCTGAGAAAGAGAGAGAGAGGATGAGAAATTACCCCCTAAGAGGATGGCCATGCTATGATCACTTCTCCATTCTCCTCTTGAGATTTTTTTGTTTGTTTGTTTTTGAGAGGTTTTTGCTATAGGGCATGTGTGCTCGCCAGACAGAGTGAGACAGAGAGACAGAAAGCGAGAAATCACCCCCAGGGAGGATGGCCACGCTGTAATCCCTTCTCCTCCATTCTCCTCTCAGGATCTTGGGCACGCATGCACACACACCTGGCATGAGTTTAAGCTACCCAGCCCAGGACTCGAACCGCCGTCGACTACATGGGAGTCCAGCGACATAGCCATTATGCCAACTGCTAGTCCCTCCTCTAGGGATTTAGGGTATGCACACATACATGTCTGGCATGATTCTCAAGTTTCCAGATTGGGGACTCAAACCACAAAACTGATCATGTGGGATCCAGTGTCATAGCTTTCATGCTGCCTGCTGGCCTGTGTATGTGTAATTTTTTTTTTTAGAGAGATTTTTACTATAGAGAGTGTGGGCTTGCTAGAGAGACAGAGAGATAGAAAGTGAGAAATCACCAGTAGGGGCGATGGCCACACCACAATCCCTTCTCCTCTAGTTCTAGTCTCCTTTCAGGATTTTGGGCATGCAAGCATATGTGCCTGGTGTGAGTTTTAAGCCTCTGGATCTGGGACTTGAACCATGTTCAGCTACATGGGAGTCCAGTGACATAACCATTATGCTATCTGCTGGCCCCCATGCTTGTGTATTTTAATAATATGCATTTCAGGATGATTTTATGAGGAAATGAAAGAAAAATAAATGTGGGAGAAGAACAAGTGGAACCCAAGGGAGAGAACTAGAGAAGGGATGGTTTTGTTTTTCAAACTTCTAAGACTGACTGTTTATGTATAAGTCTCACATTTCCCCCTAACTTCCAAGCCACATTTTCCCTGCTATTTTACCCACTGCATGCATGAAGGCAATATGCCCCCGGGGTTCCTTCCTTGCATCTGAGGCTCAGAGAGCTTAGTCTCTTTCAGACTTTCTGTTGACCTCATTAGTTGGTGTTGCAACCTTAGACTTAGAACCTTGTCTCCATTTCCCCAGTTGCCCAGTCATCCAGATAGTTGGGGAAGTTTATTATATACATGGTCTAATCCTTCTTCACTTTGGTCTTTTCTGAGGTGGCCTTCCTTTTAATCACATTTTTTCCCCTTTAATAACTTTCAAAATCCTTTAACAAAAAAGAACTGATCAAAATATGCTCTTTTTGTATGGTTGTTGATCTTTTATTGAACATACAGAGAGAGGGGGAGATTATTGACTTTGTTATTGGGTTTGGGATCAATAAAAAGAAAGGCATGAGGCCAATTTTTGCATAGACTTCTACTGCAAAAGGATTCTACCCAATTGAGGAAAGTTTGAACTTTTTAATATTTGCTCCAGCGCACCTCCAAGTTTTCTCCATCATGGACAACATAACTACCAACTCCTGAAAAGGAAGGAGAAAGAGAACTGGGTCAAGCGATTTGACCAATGAATCACTGAACTATGGATATTGTCTCTCCCACCCCATTTGCCATTTGCCCACAGAAGCTCACTCTCACTCCTGGGGCCTTGGGCATTTCACTCGGGGGCCCTTTTTGGCATGTCTCTTTCTTACCTTGGCTCAGTGGTTTGCCTCCACTCAGAAGTTCCCAGTAGGTTCTGTCATTACTGTTGGCCCTTAGGCCTTGAACAGAGGTGATGTAGGGGCCCCAGCTGCTCTCTTCCATTGTGAAACTATGGGTGACAATGAATTACAGAAACTTAGAATTTTCAAAGGAAACTCTACATAGGCATTTATTAATTTCAGTATACTTATGAATCACTTGATGACATTATAAAAAATGCAGATTTCCTGACTTGTCTCCCAGATACTTTGACAGACAGGTCTGATCTGAGGGCCAAGAATATTTTTCTTTTCTTTCTTTTTTTTTTTGGAGACATTTTTGTTATAGGGCACGTGCACTCACCAGAAAGAGAGAGACACAGAGAGACAAAAAATGAGAAATCACCCCCAGGCAGATGGCCATGCCACAGTCCCTCCTCCTCCATTCTCCTCTCAGGATCTTGGGCACGCATGTACATGCGCCCGGTGCGAGTTTAAGTCTACTGAAACACGGTCGATGACATGGGAATCCAGAGACATAGCCACTATGCCAACTGCTGGTCCTTTCCTGGAGGCTCTTGAGGGCAGCTTTTATAACACATTTGGTCACTAGAAAAGTCATGATGCATTTTTGCATAGAAAAACACATCATGACTTTTCCAATGATTTAGTCTATTATATTGTATTAATTATTGTTCTTATTTTTTTCCAGAGCATCTTACTTATTGTCGTTAGATGCAGAACATAATTGTCTAATTCAATATATATATCAAAATAATCATAGGGGTGGCAGGTGGTGTGGTAGTTATGGGTGCTGGATTCCCTCATGGCTGACTATGGTTCAAGTCCTGGACCTGGCAGCTTGCTTTCTCACTTTCCCTCTCTCTCTCTTACTCTGTCCCTCTCTGGTAAAATTAAAAGTAATAAATAAATAAATAAATAAATAAATAAAAATAAATAAAGTTCAATAAAATAATTCTAAAAAAACCCCCATAAGAGTAGATTTTGAATGTGCTCAATACAAAGTGATGATAAATGTAGGAGATGGTAGATATGTTTATTGCCCCAATTTCATCATCACACTTCATACATAGTTTGAAAAAACCACACTCTACCCCACAAATATGTACAACTACTACATGTAAGTCAGAAATAACAATAAAGAGAATTGTAAACTAGATTTAAGGAGCCAAGTAAATCATAGTTTTAAGAAACAAAGTCAATATCTTCATTCTAATATTTGACTAACCAAGGCCAGAGAACCTTAATTTAGGATACATGAATTTCCTGAAAGAGTAGGCATAGAGAGGTTTCAAGGCATCTGTGAAACTCTAATTTAAGTGCCAAATTTCATGTGTCTGTTTTTTCTCAGATCAGAATACATTGTACTCATTTGATTTTCAAAGAGACCAGCAATTCAAAAACAGGTAAAAGCCACTGGTTTAGTTACAAAATGTCTGATTTAAAAGGTTTTATTTATTGAAGGAATTTTACTGAAAAAGAATCATTCATCTATTAAATGAATATTAATTTAATACCTATTGTATGCTAGGAGATGAAATACCTTACCTCCATTTTCTTTTTTAGCAATGAATGTAAGATGTGGATAACAAAGGTACTGACCAACCAATTTAAATGTACTTTGTATTTAAATGCTGTTGTAGTCTCCTTGAGTCTTTTAAAATCACGGAAAATATCTTTTTTTTTTTTTTTAAGTTTTTGCCATAGGGCATGTGTGTTCACTGGAGAGAGGTGGAGAGAGACAGTGAGAAGGTAAGTGAGACATCACCCCACAGGGGGGATGGCCACACCACAATCCCTTCTCCACTCTTCTCCTGGGATTTTGGGCACACACAGACATGTGCCTACCATGAGTTTCAAGCCACCAGGTCTGGGACTCAAACCAGAGTCCAGTGCCTTAACCACTATGCCACCTGCTGCCCCCCACCCCCCACAGAAAACATCTTAATCTTAAGTTATTTACAGACATACCTGTATAAAGTTTTATTCATTTTCTGAGCTTCCTCCATTACATCTAGGAAGACAGAACCATTTGGCACGGTGACATTGATGGAATATGTTTTATTGATTCTCACAGAGTAATGAACTAAGATATTTGAGTGTGAGTTAGGAGGTGTCACAGTGACAGGTGCCTGAGTGGAGACGCTGAAGTTACCTGGCGGAGACAGAAAAGAAGAGAGTCATGTTCAGAATAATAAAAATTATGTTAGCATTTATATACCTCTCCAACATTTATACAAAAATGCCTTTCCAAGGGCCAGCAGATGGCATAATGGTTATATCGCTGGACTCCCATGTAATCGAGTTGAGCCGTGGTTTGAGTCCCAGATCCAGCGGTTTGAAACTTATGCCGGGTGCATGTGCGGGCATGTCCAAGATCCCAGGAGAAGAATGGAGAAGGGATTGTGGTGTGGCCATCCCCTCTGGGGGGTGAGTTCTCTCTTACAAACAAAACAAAACAAAAACAAAAACAATAATGCCTTTCCTTTATGCAGAAATAGATTTGTTATAAAGAGCAAGTATTGGGACCAGCAGTTAGTGTAATGGCTATGTTGCTGGACTCCCATGTAGTCGACCGTGGTTCGCGTCCCGGACCCGGTGGCTTAAAACTCATGCCAGGTGCGTGTGCGTGCGTGCCCAAGATCCCGAGAGGAAAATGGAGGAGAAGGGACTGTGGCATGGCCATCCTCCCGGAGGGTGATTTCTTGCTTTCTGTTTCTCTGTCTGTTTGGTGAGCGCACGCACCCTATAGAAAACCCCCCCAAAAAAAAAAAAAAAAAAAAAAAGAGCAAGTATTGTCCATCAAGAGGCAGATCTCTTAAAGGAGTAAAGCAGAAACTAAACCCAGTAGCACCCAGTTTGAAATGCTGGCATTTAACCTAAGCAGTTCAGTGTGCCCAACACCCATTTCTCACAGAGGATCCTAAATTTTTAGTTTGTTTATTTTGGTACAGCTTATAATAATGTTTGTATTTTGTCACCCTTTTTATTTCTTAGCATTTACTAAAAACATATCAAGTGTCAGGCACTGCACTAATCCTTTCATGTGGATTATCTCATTTAATGTTGATACTGTCATTTCATATATAGAGAGGTATATTCCATATATATATTTCATTATATATATTCCATATATATATATATACATTCCATATATATTTTATATATAAATATAAATATATAATTAAAATGTTTAACCTCCTGAACCTTGGAGGTTAAAAATTTTATCCAAGGTCCCTAAACCTGTAAGTGGCTGAGCCAAGGATAAATAAACGTAGAAGGAAACAGCTCTGCTTATCCTTGCTGAAAGAACATTAGTTCAAATATTCCTTCTACACGGATGTCTTTTTTCCCTAAAGGATCACTCACTGTGGATAATGCAATGACAAAGACAATATACAAATCCTCTATATTTTGTTTGAAATGGGAATGATGCTTAGATCTCTATATCTAGTAATTAGAAAACAATCCCTTTGGAAATAGGCATCATTTAATGAAGTCTAACTTGTTGACCAATTTTTGAATCAAGAACAGCTACTTGTTGAAAACAAGTCCTCAGGTGGTTATAATCCTTGATGACATTTCACGCTTTGGATATTATGGTGAAGGGCAAACCAGTTTGCTCTTTAGTGCTTATACCTAACACATTGGCACAGTAAGCATTTTTAACATTCAGGTAGGTCTTTCCCATCAAGGCAGGAAGGATCTGGGCTGCAGCGGTTGGAATACTGAATGCTCCCTGAGAAATTTTCTTGAGCACTGTTTCCAGAGTTTGTTGGCAATCCCAGTCACTTTCTTGGTAGTAGTCTGATGAGACAAAGAGGGCCTGGTGGGGGCGGGGGAGAATATGAATGAGAGACACTTCAAATAAGGGGAAGCGTATATATATATATAACTAATTCAGCAAGCATTTATTGAACACTGACCTCATAGCCAAAGGAGACACCATGTTACTAAAGTATCTTTCCCACCATCAAGAAGCTTGTACACTCATTTGGGTGGGAAGATAGGGAATTGCTTAATAACACGAGCTACCATATCCAATAAGAACAAACTTTCTCTGCCATATTCATTCCTATATACCAACTCTGGAAAAAGATCTGTCATTGAAGGGGCACACAATAAATATTGTGAACAAACTACCGTAAAAGGAGCCCCAAGAGAAACATCTAGTGGCATAGCCTTTCAAAAGGTGAGAGGAGCCCATGAACATTTAATGAGTCAAAGAAAAGGATTTCTGGAGAGATAGTACTTAAGGTAGGAATTGACAGCATAACAGCATTTTGTGAGGTGAAATGAGGAGAGGAGCTCTGTACTTGGCATGAGCAGCATGAGCAGTCGAGGGAGGTGTGGCCAAGGACGTGACTTGGTGGTGATGAGTGTCTGTACTTAATCACACTAGCGATTGGGGGACATGGTGGTGTTTGTTTCTGTCTGTACGTTATGCTTGCTTTCTTCTTGTGTTTCTTCTTAGAATTGAGTAAGTTGATGAATGATGCAGGACTAAAGTCCCAGGTCTCCATGAATATGTACATGACAGTATAGGTGTTGGGTATGAGTTTTTTGTTTGTTTGTTTGTTTTTTGTTTGTTTGTTGTTTTGTATAGGGCACTCGCTAGAGAGACAGACAGAAAACGAGAAATCACCTCCCAGGGGGGATGGCCATGCCTCAAATGCCTTAATCTCGTCTCAGGATCTTGGGCGTGCACGCACACATACCCAGCATGAGTTTTAAGCCTCTGGGTCTGGAACTGGAACCATGGTTGGCTGATCCCATGCAGTGTGTGAGTTTTGAAACAACCTGTCTAGGTCCCATCCTCATTTTCTGGATTTGCAATATTAGGCAAGCTATTGACACTCTGTGATTGATGCTCCTATTCTAGGAAATGGAGGTAATAATTATTTCCTCATTGGATTCTTGTGAACATGAATATGTTCACAAGAATACTAGGCTAGGGACCAGCTGTTAGCGTAATGGCTATGACGCTGGACTCCCATGTAGTCGACCGCGGTTCGCATCCCAGACACGGTGGCTTAAAACTCACGCTGGGCACGTGTGCTTGCGTGCCCAAAATCCCAAGAGGAGAATGGAGGAGAAGTGATTGTGGTGTGGCTACGCCCCCTGGGGGGTGATTTCTCGCTTTCTATCTCTCTGTCTCTATCTGTCTGTCTGGCGAGTGCACATGCCCTATAGCAAAAACCTCTCCAAAAAAAAAAAAAAGAATACTAGGCTATTATTCACAAGAATATTAGTATACACTAAGTACTAGTCCTTGTTACCACCACTACCATTTACTACTTCTATAACAATAGTCTAATTTGGGAGGTAGATGAAAGCATAAAATAATAGTGTATGGTAGAGCGTGAAGCTGCATATGATAGATAGAATATAGGTTGTAGCACATTCTAGGATTTCCTAAAGAAGTCATAGTTGGGAAAACCTTCATTGAAGCTCTGGATATGGAAAAGTAAAGATTGGGGGTCAGGAGAATATATTTCAGGCAGGGGAGTGGGATCACATGAGTAAATCATAGTGCAGAACATACAGAAAGGATATAATCTTAGGAGGTCAATAAAAAAGGATAAAGATAGCGATTTCCTCCATAACTCCTTCTCTGCCTCCTGTTTCATCCTTTGACTCACCTGCATAGCTTCTCCTGTACTAAATGTATTTCCAATGAGACCATTTTTTTTCTTCTCAGACAGAATCTTTTTTACCAGTAACTCTATGTGATTACTGATACTCCTTAGATCCTCTGTATCTGTCTTAATCTTCCCATCCACCAGATTCCTCTTCACACAGGTCAGAGCCAGAATAGCCATCGCGCCGGTATCTGTCAGGACATGAAACATCGTTGATAGAGTGACCAGCCTCTGAGTTTGTCCTGGACTGAAGGGTTTGAAGAATGAGGGACTTTCACTGCTAGAAGAGCGATAGATCTGGGAAAAACTCTGTATCAAAAGAATTGGATTTAATGACTCACCCACTGAGAAATCACCCCCAAAATAATAGTTTTTATTTTTAGGAGTGAAGTATTCAGCAACTTTGGCAGTTGAGTAGCTCCCATTGAACAGACACAAGGCCAAAACATCTAGGCTGAGCTGGTAGTAGTTCGTCAGTGGATTGCCGTTGTGTGTTTCTAGCAGAGAGAAGAGAAGAAATACCTTACCATGAAAGTAGTACTGGAGTAATATATTTCCTTTCCTTTTCTTTCTTTCTTCTTTCTTTCTTTCTTTCTTTCTTTCTTTCTTTCTTTCTTTCTTTCTTTCTTTCTTTCTTTCTTTCTTTCTTTCTTTCTTTCTTTCTTTCTTCTTTCTTTCTTTCTTTCTTTCTTTCTTTCTTTCTTTCTTTCTTTCTTTCTTTCTTTCTTTCTTTCTTTCTTTCTTCTTTCTTTCTTTCTTTTGCTATAGGGTGCATAACACTCACCGAGAGACAGAGAGACAGAAAAGTGAAAAAAAGTGAGAAATCACCCACAAGGGGGCATGGCCACATTGCAATCCCCCCTCCTCCATTCTCCCCCTAGGATCCTGGGCACACATGCACATGTGCCTGGCATGAGTTTCAAGCTGCTAGGTTCTGGATTCAGACCATGGTCATCTATGTGGGAGTCCAGTGACATAACCATTATGCCATCTGCTGGTCCTAGAGTAATATATTTTCAATCCATTCCCCTACTTACTTTATATACATTTCTCTTCATTTAAGGAAAGGTGAGTAAAAGAAGAGGGAAATCACTCGTAGAATTAGTAAACAGAAATGTGAAGGCTCTTAAGGACCACCAAATTCAGCTCACCTCTTTATTTTATTAAGTGAGGAGACCCAGAACTAAAAAGATTAAAATTCTATCTAGATATTCAGGTGGTTACAAAGATAGGACTAGAACACAGGTTTCCAACTCCAGGACTCTTTCACTTTCAGCAGTAAGATACTGAAACTGTAGTGTATATCTATGAATCAGATACCTATCATCTATCTATCTATCTATCTATCTATCTATCTATCTATCTATCTATCTATCTATCTATCTA